CGCCAACGGCTGCCACGAAGACTGGGACAAGTGGCTCGAGGCGACGCAGCCACTCTTCTCGAAGGTGCCGCTCCTCGGTATCACGGGCAACCACGAGGTCATCCAGGACAGCGGCGTCAACTACGATCACCCGGAGTGCGACTCGGAGTACTTCTCGGCGTACATTAACCGCATCGTGACGCCGATCTCGGCCGACGCCTCAAAAGACCACCGCACGTGGTACTCGAAGAACATTGGTAGCATCCACGCCGTCTTTCTCGACGACTACACGGGTATTCTCGGCAAGAAGAACATTGGCTCGGACTACTGGTTTGCCCACCGCAACCAGCAGCTCGACTGGCTCAAGAAGGACCTCGCGAGCGTCAACCGCGAGAAGACGCCGTACGTGGTGGTCTTCAAGCACAACGCGTACTACAACTCGTGGCTGAAGCACCAGTGCCAATGCTCGCCCGTCAAGTTTGAGATTCCGGACGCCGAGTCGTGCTGGAAGGGCAACTACTACATGAACTCGACCGACGACGGCGGCAAGCTCGGCGACGTCCGCAAGCAGCCCCACTGCAGTCTCCAGGCCAAGTTTGAGGACGTTTACTACCAGCACGGCGTCGATGCCGTCATGTCGGGCCACGTCCACTCGTACGAGCGCACGGCGCCGGTGTTCAAGAACAAGATCACAGAGGGTGCCCCGACGTACTTTACCGTCGGTACGGGCGGCCACGGTCTCTACCAGGGCGCGATCAAGCCGATCCCCGAGTGGTCCAAGGCCATGTCGAGCTCGCTCTACGGCCACGCGCGTGTCATCGCCGACGACGACAAGTTGACCATTCATTTCCGCGCCAACGGCGAGACGACGACCATGTTCGACTCGGTCGAGATCAAGCGCCGCGCCAAGCCCGCGTGCTAATATGTTCATGTACCTAGCTTGGCGAGAGTCGGGTTGCTCTTGCGGACGATGCATCTATCTCTGTTTTGTTTCTTTGAATCAAAGTTTTTGGACCTCAGCTTGACTATTGTTGTGTTGGCGGTGAACCCCATGGGTGAACCCTTCCGGTAGCACTTTTGCAAGTGAAAAACGGCTAAAGCACCAATAGCAGCACCACAACCGCAGTGGAGGCTGGTGACCGGCAACTCGACCACCGCCGACTGGTCCCGGACTTCGACGACATCGCTCAGTCGTCACCAACCGCGCCAAATCGCAAACAACCGCTCTCGGCCGCCGCCGACCACGACTCTCGGACGCGTTGTCCGTCGATCAATGTATGTCAGCGACACCACGCGATCGGGTGACGACAGAGATGACGACGAAACCGCAACGTGTAACTGCGCCGCGCTTGCCTCGGTGGCGACCGCGGATTGCGGTCGGATATGTCGTCGGGCGGGCGTACTCCGACAATTGCGGTCTCGTGTCGACAACCGCAGCACGCCACCGTCCACCGCCTGCCTGACAGCGACAATATCTGGACGTCGACAACTGCGCCGGACGTCGGCAACGGCGCCTGAGCGTCGACAACTACAGTCGGACGTTAACGACTGCCGTGAAACGTCGGCACCTGCCTTCCCGAAGTCTGCAACTGCCGTCGGATGCATGCCACCGCAGCCGAGCGTTGTCCACCTACTTTGTGGCGCCGGTAACTGCCGTCAGACGTTGCCACGCGTGCAGCCAACTGCATCTCGACGTCTGCAACCGCAGTTGACCGTCGACAAACCGCAGTCAACTGCCCGTCAACGTCTGCAACCGCCTTCGGGCGTTGGTCGTCTTTGTGCCGGTGACGACTACCGTCGGACGTCGACAATCTGCAGCCAAAGGCAGCTGGATGTCTGCAACGGCAGCTGGATGTCTGCAACTGCAGTTGACCGTTGACAACTGCACCTCGGCTGCCGGCAACTGCCTCCCGAACGTCGCCAACTGCCTCTCGGTCGTCGTCGACTGTCTCTTTACCGTCTGTAACTTCCCCTCGGTCGTCGTCAACTGCTTCTCGACCGTCGACAACAGCCTCTCGGTGGTCGGCAACTGAGCCCTGCCGTCGGCAGCTGAGCTTGACGTCGACGATTGCGTCCCTTCCACCATGCACACCCCGATGGACCCGTTCCCACGATGGCTTTGCAGAGCCAGGGGAAGACACGGAACTGCTCTGCATCAATGGGTCACGGATGCTATGTCCAAGCGCATGCCGTACACGACGCTGGTCCCTTCGCAACCAGTCCCGCGGCAACACGCTACGACTGCTGACTGCGATCGCACCGGTGCCAGGGGACGAGCGACAACGTGACGCACGACCAGCACGCGATGACACCTACGCGATACACTGCAGCACAACTCGGTGCCAGTTGTCGCCATGTCAAGATATGTTGAGGTGCCTCTTGAAGTCAACGTGTCGATGCTGCGACGGCGCTGAAGCCCACGACGACCACCGACAGCGGCAACTCCAAGGTCACTACGTCGGTGCACCAGCTGCACATAGTCTCATCGGCAACCGACTGCGACGCGACCTGACGGTGGCATGCCAGTCGTCGGTTGCGCCGCCGTTGACACGTCGGTGCCACGGCCAACAAAGACGGTATCCCAGACGATCGACGCGTGACACCAAGATGACGGTGCAACAGTCCCCGTGGACGACGGTCTCCATTGAGATGGTAAACCTCAGAAACGACTATGATCGACGTCGACAGATCGATGCCACGGTCACCTACGGCACCGCTCATGGTCAAGATGATCGCTGGCAAATGCCAACTTGTCGATACGATGGCGCTCACGGTCGAGATTGCCACCGGTCGACGCCGACAGGCGGTGAAGCCGCCGCCGAGAACGGCGCTCTCCGTCGATACGATTGCCGCTCGCGATGACGCTCGCCATTGACGCGTCTGGGCATTGGTCGATCACGACGGCTCCCGACGTTGACATGTCGGTGCAGCGGTTGATTACGACGCTGTCAACTGCCACGACGAGCACTGCTCGCTACGTCGTCGCGCGTCACCATGCCAGCGCAACGACGGACCAAATGGACTTTGATATTACGACTACCGGCGCTCATGGCGCCGCTGCGATGCCTGGCGACACGGTGCTCACAACACAACGATTGGCAATCCTCGTAGCCTCCGGCCTACCAACGTCCGGCACCGATTACCAAGGCGAGCACTGGCGGCTGCAATCCTCGGCGACCGCTTGCCGGAGCCAGGGGAAGAGCGGCGGCAGCAAGCATGCAAGGACCGTCGACTGATGACTCCATACCTTGACGACGGCAATGCTCAACCGTTGACCGCCAAGAGACGCTGCCTAGTGTGACGAAGGTCGTTCCCGAACAAGACACAACGACTGTGCTCGACAAGGACAAGGTAGTCGACGTCCCCCAGAGTTTCCACACGGCGCGACCACCGTCGACGACGCATACGCCACGGAGCCCCGATGTGGACGTAACGCCGGTGCTCGACAAGGTCGTGCCAGTCGACGACACAGCAGTAGTGTCCAGCATGACCAAAAGAGTCGATGCCGCCTACGCACCTTGACGGTGGGCTGGCCGTCGTTGCTCAAGTGACACTTGACGACGCTGCAACGGCAGTGTGCTGCAATTGTTCGACTGTCAACATTGGTGCTCTCGGTGGCGACAACACCTGCCGACATTACGACGTCACGGTGCCTACTAGGCCGACACAATGGTGTCCACGACGGACGCGACGGCCGACGATATGTCACGCCCCAACGATGCCCGGCAAAGGACGCCCGGTTGTGAGACGTACACGTGAGCCGACACCGACGCCGATGCCGCGACGACGCCGTGAAGCTCAAAATAATCGATTACGGTGACGCCAGACGTCTGTCGACGTCGATGCCTGAAGATGGTCGTGTCCAACGTCGACGCGCCTGCCTCGCTTACAACGACCACAAACCGCGACTGCTCATGACGTCGACGCTCCTGCCCAGTCGCCGCGTTGTCGAAGTCGATGGTCGATGATGGTCGTGTCCTACGAGGACGCGACGACGCAAATGCTCCCATGCCGGTCGACGATGTGCTTGTACACGCTTGCAACAACACCGCTCGCGACAGCTCTTTTGAAGTCGACGCGCCCGCGCAACCCACGGGTGCAGTCAGCACCGGATGCCCAGACCACGCCGCACACGATGCTTGTGCTTCTACCACTGATCTTCAAGCGACTGCTGCAGCCCGTGTCGCATTCCCACGACGGTGACATCGGCCCCGACTGCTTCCACGACGGTGACACCAGTCTCGACTGCTCCCACGATGGTGACTGCATGGCAAGCTATGACGTCGTTTCCAACGAGCTACAACACGCTGACGATGTCTCTACGTGACGGCATACTAGAGGTCGAAGCCGACTGCTACGACATCGATGCGACGCCGCCACGACGCTAACTGCCGCGACGCCGTTACGACGCCGATGCGACGCCAACCGTTACGACACCGATGCGACGCCAACTGCCGCGATGCCGATGCGACGCCGTCTGCTTGTACGTCGACAGCCGCAACATCGATGAAACGCCGATGCGACGTCGGCAGCCACGACTCGAACACCGCGGTCACGACGCACACCACAACGTCGCCAAGGACCTTACGATGGAGTCGTCGATGTCGCTGCCCTGCGAACGACCGTGACGGTTGATGTCACGAAGGCGATCAACGACACGCCGTGGTACCGTGACGCGTGTCGTGAGAACGACGTCACCCGCATGGACCCGTCGAACCGACAATGACGAGACAACCAAGTCCTTACGGAACGGTTGCGTCTAATAATCAGCCTCTGGGCCTACGCTTATGTCTTCAGAACGATGACTATGAGGTAGCGCAATGCGCCTCGGTGCATCAACGAAGCTTCCAACTCCTATCGGGATTGGTCGCTATCGATTACACATCTACATATTCACTCGATGCTTCTGGGCTTGCGCCTATGCAACTCTACTTTCATTGACGAAGCCTCCAAACCCATTTGGGACGGTCGCTATCACTTCCTTGACTGTATATCTACTTCACGCCTCTGGGATTGGACTCATGCACTCTATGAGCTCAACATATTACAGTACCTTCCATGAGATTCTAGCAAGGGTCGATTCAAAGAAACAAAACAGAAATATATTCATCGTTCGCAAAAGCAACCTGACTCTCGCCAAGCTAGGTACATGAACATATTAGCACGCGGGCTTGGCGCGGCGCTTGATCTCGACCGAGTCGAACATGGTCGTCGTCTCGCCGTTGGCGCGGAAATGAATGGTCAACTTGTCGTCGTCGGCGATGACACGCGCGTGGCCGTAGAGCGAGCTCGACATGGCCTTGGACCACGTCGGGGATCGG